AAAAAAAAAAAAAAGAGATGTCTTATTAGCCTGGGTTTTTTGTAGCACACGCAAGTTAAGACTTAAGAGTGTTGCACTTTTTTTTTCATTAATTTTATAAAAGAATACAAAAAATAATTTTAATTTTAATATTAATATTACATGCATAATTTTAATTAATTAATTAGTTAATCAATTAATTAAAAATAACTTCTATTTTTCCAATTAAAACGTACTACTACCTGCTTTAAATAAAGATTGTAAAATAAGGACTATAAAAAAGACGACAATAAGGGCACGAATCGCGTCAATAGTAGAAGCTCAAGTTAGATAAAAAAAAAATGAAGATGTTGTAGTTTAATTAATTGAATAAGCGTTGACTTGCAGAGAGGAGCGAGTTTATGTTGACGTTGAAGATGAATCAGCTCGAGTTGCGGCGAAGCAATTGACCACTCTGCAACTCAGTTAGAATTAAAGGTTTTTCATTTTTTTTAATTAACTCTTCTCTTTTTCTCTTGCGCTTCCTCCCTTAGCCACTGCTTCCATCCCCATTGCAGTGAAGGAAGATGAATAACAAAGTGCTATTATTTCCCTTAATTTTTTTTTTTTTTCATTTTTGAGAGTTTTCTTCTTTTTGGAGGGCTTTGGATTGAGTTGTCTCCATGTTTTTATACAGTTGTGCTTAAGTGAGAAGAAAAAGACAGTGTAGACGTGGTGGTGGCTTGGATTTGGGTTTTAGTGCTCACCTCAGGTGGTGTTAACATGGTTAGGGATTGAGGTCTCTATCTAATTTTTTTTGGTCCTAGGAACTGGCATAATAGTTGGGATTACTTAGTAATTTGAGACGCTTGAAATGATAATCTTTCTATTTAGGTAACTTTGTTATTAATGTTTTGGCAATCTCTTAAATCTTAGATAATTACTAGCTCTGCACTTAATTATCCGAATTTATTATGAGTATATCTTTTATTGTTTATGCTATAGTTTAGCTTCCTCTTTTGCCATTTGTATAGAGATTTACCATGTTCTCTTTCTTCTCTATTACTTCATTTGTTTCAAAATAATAGGCATTTTTTTTTTTTTTATCTATGGATTGAACTTAAGGATAATTTCTATTTTTATTTATTTTATCCTTAAAAAAAATAAAAATAAAGAATTTTTTTTTGATAGCTAGGATACATAATTAAAGTTGAGAGATAATAGAAACGCTAAATATTTGTCTCCCTCAAAATATAAAAACTAGATTATTATTTTGAGATAAATTTTAAATAAAAAATGTCTATTATTCTAGAACAGAGAGAGTAATAAATTTCATTATTCATCATAAAAAAAAAGTGAAAAATTTCCCTCTATTTTTGTTATTGATAACTTATGCCAAGTTAAAAATAGGTTTAACCATTATATTTTATTTTACAGTAATGTTATAAGCACAATATTATGTTATATCATGTATTATATAATATAATATTAGATTAAGTAAATATATATAATATTACACGTGATTCTCTAAATAAAAAATTTAATCACAAAATGACACTTTATATTGTACACAAAATAAATATTAGTAAAGGATAAGTGTTTTCCAGGATATCTTCCTAGAAGATATCTATAAAAATACCATATTTTAATTAATATTTTTTAAAATAAATTGT